CTCCCGCTGCTGCGCCTCTCCCGCTGCTGCGCCTCTCCCGCTCCCGCTGCTGCGCCTCTCCGGCTGCTGCGCCTCTCCCGCTGCTGCGCCTCTCTGGCTGCTACGCCTCTTCCACGCACGCCTCTCCCGAAATTACAGGCTGGTGTGTCACTCTTCATCTTTGTCCTTTTTTTTTTTCAGTCATTTCTATTGTTTGGAGCCTCCTGGATGACGGTGACAGGCTCTGATGTGGGCTTTGAGGGGCCACCCGGTGGGGAGTGCACCAGGCGCCCAGAGGGGCTGCCTGTCCTGAGGGCACCGGCGTCACCCACTGGGTGTTGAGAGGAGGCTCCTGTTGTGCAGCTGCATGAACGGGACACAGATGTGGCTGTTTGGAGGGACAGATGGCTCCCCCAGAGCCCCAGTCTCAGCACACCCTGGTGAGCACAGCCCGACCACCCTGACCAGGGCTCACAGACTCCAGCGCCCGAGGGAATGCTGCCTGCCCTTGGTCCACACTCAGATCCTTCCAGTGGGACGGGGGGCCCCTGGCCCAGACTGACTGCTTCTCCCATTCACCGGCCCCATGCAGGCCGCTAGGACCTGGGCTTCTATGATGGGGGAATAGGTGGCGCTGTCAGGGGCACAGCAGGCCTCCGGCACAAGCCCAGGTTGGGGGCCAGGAGGGCGCGACCTGGCGTCCGGACATGGAAGGGGTCACACTCCCGTCTCAGTCTCCTGTTGTCCACACTGCAGAATCCCGTCTGTGGCTCCAGATTTGGAACAGCCGGAAGGCCCCTTTGTTAGCTGCTGCCGGGATTCTGGGAGGGGGTGAAAACCTCCATGAGGGAGCGAGGCTTTGGGGCTTTGTGCGGAGACGAGGGGAGGAGCCAAAGCCAGGACCCCAGGGTCTCAGAGGGGCCCCCAGGTTGTGCCCCGTGTGCCTCGAGGGGCCAAGCTCTAGCGGGGGCTGGGCTGGGTTCCGTGACCTCCATGGGGTGCAGCCCACCAGGCTGCCTATGAGAGTGCTCCAAGTCTTCACCCAACTGACCTCTGGCCAACCCCCACGGGCCCCCCAAGGGACTTGCTCTGGAACTGGAGAGTGGGACTATAAAGAAACGGAACCCAGGAATCTGGCATTGTTGGAGTCCTTAGGAAGGATAAAAAGGTGGCCACATGTTGAGTGGGGTGGGGAGGTGACTGGGGGTGGCCAGAACGTTCCAGGCAGGAAGTGCAGTGAGCGTCGGTCTCCGGCCTAGAGATGCTCCTGGTGCGTAATTATGCTGGCCGGTGGGCGCGCCGCGCAGGACCTGGGCTGGCCCCACATCCTCTGTGCCCAGCGGTGGGGATGCCAGCTGGGACCCAGCAGCCAGGTCAGCCCCGGGCCCAGCTCCCGAAGCAGCCTCCCCATTACGGAAAGGGGGTCCCCGGCGATGGCAACTGGAGACAGCTGGTGAGTGCAGGGAGTGGCCTCGGCCCTGGAGACACTGGAACAATACAGGACCGTGCCAGGGTAGGGGCCACGGCTCGTGCAGAACAAAGTTGTCAGTCACAGGGCCACACTGTGGGGGGACCCGAGGGAGGTCTCGGACCTGAGGGGTCTCCTGGGACTCCAGGTGCTAGCGGCAGGATCCCTGCTCAAGGTTCTGCTGCTGAGGCTGGAGCCCAAGGATGCACTGAGGGCCGGCCGCAGCCCCTGCCCTTCTCCACCCCGTTCACAAGCGCGTCAGTCAGAAGCGGCAGACCCAAAGGTGCCAGGAGCTTCCACTCCTCCAGCCCCGCCCCGCCCGGCCCGGCCCTGCCTGCTGACAGTGAGCCCTCCCCTGTGCCTGGCACGGGCTGGGGACCCTGCCTGGAACCACTCGGCCACGACACAGTGAGGGTTCCTTAAATGCAAACCAGACGCAGCCGACTGAGTGTTCGAGGGCTTCGGATTTGCCAGAGCCAGGTTGGCTGCTGGAAAGAATGGTTTTCTCAGAATTCTGACAAGTGGGCTCTTTGGGCCCAGAGACAGGTCTGGACGCTGGTTCAGGAAGCTGGGACCCACACCAGAGGGACAGGTGCTTCTTCCTCACCGCACAGCAGGCAGAAGGCACGGGGGCAACAGCGGGGGGAGCCTCAGGCAGGGTCCCCCACTCTTTCCTAAGAGGGGGCCGTCGCACAAACACCCAGATGGGCTGTGGGGGGCTTCAGCAGGGACAGAGCTGGGCAGGCCCTGGAAGAGGTCGTGAGGTCGACGCCCTGGTCAGCCACAGTTGAAGGCCTCTGGGTGGGGGGTGCAGCAGGTTCGAGGGTAGTAAGGGATCACCTGGCTGCAATGACCCACTGGCGGGGGCAGGGAAGCCAGGCTCCGGCGAGGACGAGAGGCACAGGCCCAGGTTTGTCTCTAAGCCACTGCCGCCCCAGGATCCATGGCGGAGAGGCCTGCAAATGTGCGGCCCTTCACCTGCATGCTGGGTACTCACTCCAGGAGCCGGCAGAGCTCACGGCGAGTTCGCGATCGGTAAGACTCCCCAGGGTTTCCGTACCCAGAAGACGTAAGCCCAGCTGCACAGAGAGGCAGGGCTCCCTGCAGGGAGCAGGCCTCGTTTTGGGACGCCTGCCCCAACACAATGGGAGGGCCCTAGCCGTGTGGCCGTGGAGCCGACAGGAGGCAGAGGAAACGGCTGCTGGTCACAAACGTGTGTCCCGAAGAGACGACATCATTTTAACACTGAACACTCCAACTCAGCAGCCACGTCGTCCTGGGATTGTAACAATCCTAGTCCAAAGATACTTCACCTGAGGGCAGTGTGAGCGCTTCGTGGGCGCAGCCCAGGCTGGGAGGAGACGCCGACCCCTCCGTTCTCTCAGGTGGAAAAGAGCGAAAGCCTGTTTGCTGAAATAAGACGTTTCAACCTCACACTCGCGCTGAGGCTGCCACGGTCATGGAATGAAGTGGAGATGCTGCCCTGGGCGTGTGGGTCGGTGCGTGTCTGTGGGAGTGACTCTCAGAGCGTCTCAGCTTTTGGCTCTCGCAGATGCTCCCACGGCCGAGTGGCTGGGCAAACGGGGCCCCCGCGCCTGCAGGATCTTGGCTATTTTTTAGTCTCTGCTTCTCAAGTTATCGTACAAAGCGAGTTTCATATTTAATTCACAAACCATGACTCAGAGCTAGACAGAGGGCGGCGCCGCCCCCATGGGTGAGTGGCATCAAAGGCTTGCCAGTGCCAGCGACTTGGCAGCCCCCGAGCGTCCCCCACGAGGGGCCTCACTGCAGGGGGCTGCAGCAGACCCTCCTCCCACCTCACCGGACCCCTTCCCTCCACCGCTGGGCCTGTGCTCGCTGCCTTGGCTACTTCCATACCCGCCCCCCCTCCCTGTGGAAGCAGGAGGCGGCGCTGGCACACTCACTCACACTCACTCACACTCACATCCACTTCTGTTTGCTGGATGGGCAGAGGCACGGGAGGTCTCAAGGGCCTGATACCCCGTGTTGGTCCCAGGCGGGCGCTGGGGATACCTGGAGCCCTCCTCTGCCCTTGAAGCCCTTCTGTGGCCACTGCAGGGGTCTGGTTCTCCACCCACATGCCTTGCCCAAGGCCCCCGGTGCCAACCCTGTCCCAGGAGGACCCATGTCTCTCAAAAGCAGGTGATTTTTCCTGCAGGGTCTGTGCACCGCGTCACCAGAGCAGGGTCTGTGCACCACGTCACCAGAATGTTTTGCCCCAATCAGGAATCCCAAACGTCACAGCTTCCACCCAAGAAAACAAGAGCAGGTGCCTGGGCCGGGTGCGGTGGCTCACGCCTGTAATCCCAGCACTTTGGGAGGCCGAGACGGGCGGATCACGAGGTCAGGAGATTGAGACCATCCTGGCTAACACGGTGAAACCCTGTCTCTACTAAAATTACAAAAAAAAAAAAAATTATCCGAGTGTGGTTGCAGGAGCCTGTAGTTCCCGCTACTTGAGAGGCTGAGGCAGGAGAATGGCGTGAACCGGGAGGCAGAGCTTGCAGTGAGCCGAGATCACGCCACTGTACTCCAGCCTGGGCAGGTAACAGAGCAAGACTCCATCTCAAAAGAAAAAAAAAAAAAGAGCGAGTGCCTGGCAGGCGGGTGGGAGCAGGACGGGTGCTGGTCACTCTGTGAGCAACCCAGCAGCTCCTCCACAGCCTGCGGGGCCAGGTGAGGGTTGGTGGGACAAGCCACTGTGTCCTCGGGCTCAGGCCAGGAGGGATGGGTCCCCAGGGCACATCAGCGGGGGCCTCCCCAGCCCAGCCCAGCCTAGCCCAGCCCAGTGCACAGCTGCCTCCAGTTTGTAGACAGAGTCCTGACCTGAGGTGGAAGCTGTCGCTGGGCCCCGAGCCCCAGTTTCCTCCCAGTAGAACCAGCCGGTTATGGCCCTGCATGTGCTGTGCCCGTAGCACTGCCAGGCCCAGGATGGTGAGATGTGACGACCACAAACCCCCACGGTGTCCCCACTTGCACGTGCCACGATGTGCACCTGGTCCCGCTCCTGTCCTCCAGCTCACAGAGTCCCATTAGACCACTGCCCTGAACCCTGGCCACCAGCCGCCTTCCTCTGGGAGTCCCCGGGCTCCTCCTGCCTCTCTGTCTCCACGTGCCCACAGTCTGGTCCACCCGGCGGTCTGAGGGTTGTAGTGATCGAAGCAGATGGACCGGCTCCAGCTCTGCCCACTTCGTACCAGCCCAGGCAAGTCACAGGGCAGCTGTCGGCCCCGCGAGACCCTGGTTGGGGGCTCCCTGAAGCGAGGCCCACGGAGGCTCACTGCCTTCTCAGACCAGGTCCTTGGCTCCCCTGGGCCTTCCCCGTCCTCCTGGCCCAGCTGATGAGGAGGCCAGAGCTGACCCTCCAAACGCCTGCCAGTGGGGTGGGACACTCCTACCTGCTGCCTCCAGGCGGCTCCTGTGCAGTGGGTGGTGTCCCCCCGGGGTGCAAGCCGCCTCTGGATCTGCTGCCTGCCTTCTAGAAGGATTGGGCAGGAGGAGGGGAGAGGGAGAGGCTCAGAAGGGGGGCCCAGGAGCTCTGCTCGAAACCCCCCGGGCACACGTGGCCTGGGTGTTGAGGTGGTGGGTGGGCAGGGACCGTCTGAGTGATGTGGGGTGGCCTCTCCGCCCCCCGTGGGCACCCACCTTGTGGAGGCTGTCCAGGAACAGGAAGGGGTGGTACCCGGGCGGGGGCGGCCCCAGTAGGACATCGGTGAACTCGGCACAGCCCTGATCCACTCGCCGACAGGCCCCGGGACAATGGGGCGTGTGTCCCCCGGCTGAGGAGACAGAATGAAGAAAGGCCCTGTGAGGGGCTCGCGGCGGAGACAGAGGGAGCCCCGCATGGCTGTGCTGAAGTGTGGCTCTGGCCAGGGCAGCGGGCACAGACGTCAGCAGCAACGCCGTCTTGGTGGGGGCAGGTCAGGGGGCAGGGACTGTCCCTCCTGGGTACTCCCTCTGGCCACCGACAGTGGAGGTGGGGGTCCTTCGTATCCATGGCCCCGTGACACCCCCATTCCCTTCTGAGTCCACCCCAGCATCTGGGAGCCCAGTGTTCTGTGGCAGGAAGGCTCTCCCATCTGCAGCCCCCTGCCAGCTGAGGCACTCGCTTCCAGGGTAGGGCCGGGCCTCGGACCCTGGCCAGAGAGGCCGGTGCTCAGCAGCATAGCCACGTGCCCTCCTCTGAGTGTAGCATGAGGAGGAAGACGGTTCTGCTCCAGCGATGCGTCGAGATGGGCCTGGCATCGGGCCCCGTTCTCCACCAGCGTGGAGGGGAGAAACCGGGGGCGGCTGCCAGTCCCTCCAAGTGGCAGCAGACCCTAAGTCCTCGGGCATTGGAGGAGGCTGTGGGCGGGCTCAGCCTGTGCATCCCTCAGTGGGACCCCTGCAGACCCTTGCCCATCCTAGCTTTCTTCAGCCCCTCTCCCAGGATCCCAGGGTGTGAGGTATGGGGGCTTCCCTTTGGCTCCGCCCATGAACAGATGGAGCTACAGCCCCCAGGGCCTACCCTGCTGTGTCTTTTACAAGGACGCTCAGTGGCTGAGCCTGAAGGAGATAACTTCAGTGCAGCCCCTCCACACACACACACACATCGGAACCCACTCTCCCACCGGCAGCTGGGGCTCTCCTGGCGTCCCTGCCCCGAGGGCCCTCCCCTTGCACACACCACTGGTAGGAGGTGCTAGCAGGAGGCCATGGGATGTGGTGAGGGCTGAAGGTCGGCTCCAGAGTTGGCTGGATGGGGGAGTTCTGAGAGGGAGGCAGGGGCTGGTGTGGTGGCTTTAAGGCCACAAACAAGTGTCCCCACCAGGCAGTGACACCATCAAAAAACAGAAGAGACCCAGCTCCAGGGTGGATAGAAGGGTGGAGCCAGGACAGTGCCCAGGAGGGAAGGAGGAGTCAGGGGCTGCTGAGGGGTGCACAGGAGGTCGCGTCTGTTTGGGCTGTTTCATTTGTGGCCGGATCCCAGGAGGCAGAACCCTCACGTGGGGCCCTGGGGCAGCCGCCTCCGTGGGGCTCTGAGTGAGTGGAGGGCGCTGGATAGGACCTTGGGGATGGAGGCATTAACGTCCCTTTCCCGGAGCCCAACTTCTGTAGGGAGCGACAGAGACGCTGAGGAGAGCCAGCCTCAGAAGTGTCTCCAAATTACAGGTGGGAGAATTATCTCTCTCGGAGGTGTCTTAATTTAATCATTATGGTGCATTATAGAGAGAAAGTCTCCCCTCTGCAAGGACACTCTTTAACCGACATCCTTCTCCCAGCAGCTTTTGCTGGCCCGGCACTATTTACGTCCGGGGCGATGGCTGGGAGCTGCACTGCTGATGGCATAATTTCCATTTCTTAACGCACCGATGGTTTCCACGTGGACTGCACTGGAGCTAACTTGGACGCGTCTTTTATCGACACCCCCTGGGCAATAAAGACGCCAGCTCTGTATCCTGATCATGCCGACGCCCTCCCCCTCGGCAAGGTGACTGCTCCAGAGCGGGCCGGGATCCTGAGCCCCGAGGATGCGTGGTTCACACGGCGGCGGGGGCTTCAGACCTCCACCTGCCACGTGCCATTTCCGGGGGCAAGGTGGGAGATTGGAAAATGTATTTGTAGAAGCCCAGCGGGCATTCCTGGTGTGTAAATAAACATCCACCCACCTGGAGCCTGGAGGGTGTCTGCATCGCTGAGGCTGGGGGTTCCGGCCAACCTGTTGGAAGAGCCTCCTTTGCCTGGTGATCACAAGGGCTAGTGCCAGGCGCCTTCAGGCAGGTTCTCACAACATCCCCGCTCTCCTCAGAGTAAAGGCTCTGTCGTGACTGCCCCTGGCTGATAAGCAGCCAAGGCTCAGCCGGGTAAAGGGAGGCCTCCTGCGCAGCACAAACAGAAACTAACGGCTTTCAGTTCAGCAGGAAGAAGACAGAGGACACCAGGGCCTGTAAAGCCGGTTCCTTGAGCCCATGTGGGTTTGACACGGGGGGTTCCCCAGAGGTGCAGGCAGACCCCTATGTGTGGTCCCTGTCCGAGAGTGAAGAGGAGGCCCTCTGGGTTGGCCAAGACGCTTTTGTTGCAAGCAAGAGAAACGAGAAATAGTGAAAAGCGGAAGGGGAGTGTTGTCCACAGCCTTGAGCTCGGAGGAGCCTTCTAGATCCCAGCACATCTGGATCCAGGAGCCCACACTGTGTCTCTTTCTTCTGGATGTCACCTCCCCCTCCCTCAGGCTCTGACCGCCACATGGCACAGGCCCACGGAGGGCCTTCTGCTGCCACGCTGGGGGGCTGCCTGGCCATGAGAGACAGAGGTCCACCTCTGCCATGCACTCCCCGAGTCGGGGCTGCAGGCTGACCGCAGCGGCCCCCGGGGCCTGGCTGTGACTGCCTTCCCCGAGGTTGGCACCACACCCCCCAGGTGCTCAAGCTGAAAGTTTGGGGTCAGCCTCCAGTTGCCCCTGCCCCATATCCTATGCACCCACAATTACTGCAGCTGCAGCACCAAGGCTGACATCAAGGCTGCCTTCAAAACGTATCTGTGCCTGGACCCCCAAGGCTGCCCACTGCCCTGCCACACCCCCGCCAGGCCCCAGTGTCTCCCACCAAGTCACTGGCACTGCCCTCAGCTGAAGCCTAACTCCTGGGTCCCCCTCGCCCTTCAGTCCATTGTTTACACGGGACCCTCACACGGAAGCCAGGTCAGTCCCTCCCCTGCCAAGGGCCCGGAGCTCAGCCCGGCCTGGCCCCTGCCTGATGCTGGGCCAGAAATGCTACACAAGCTTGCACATCCCCTAAAGAAAACAAGGGCACAGGAAGGCCCAGCCAAAGTGTCCTGTGGGGCTGCTCTCTGTGGAGCAAGGTTTGGAATCCACTTGGCTGCTCCTGTTCAGGGCACCCTCTGTGCAGAAGCGGGCACCCCCGCCGCACGGCCTCCCGCCCCCGCCACACGGCCTCCCGCCCCCGCCGCGCGGCTTCTCTGCGTTTGCTGAAGAGGCAGATTTTCCAAGGCTGCGCCTGGGCTCTGCTGCTGACATCAGGGTGGCCCTGGCCTGAGTCCCTACTTGTCCCCCAGTGTCATCGGCTACAGATGGCCGCTGTCCCCACAGGCCCTGTTTCCTCCTGCCCCTGGGCCCCAGGGGACCTCGGAGGCTGCTGTCCCTGGGGCAGGCTGGCGTCTCTTCTGTTCAGACCCCTTTGGGCGGTCACCTTGCTTGCCATGGACACAAGCACCACGTTCAGCCAGATGACCCCTCACCTGCCTCCTCAGGGGCCACACACCCAGCCCTGGCAGCCAGCAGTCCCCTCATGCTGTGTACTGCGCATCCCACACCCTGCAGGCACCAGAGCAGAGCTGAGTCCCTCCTCCAGCTCAGCCTCCCCTTGGTGAGGGGCCTGCCCTCCCGCTGGTCACTGACTCCTCCCCTCACTCCATGACACCCCTCCGCCCACACAAGTCTCCCCAAACTTCTCAGATCCTCCTTGGGGGCACCTCCATGGCTGCAGTCCTGGGGTTTGGGCCATCATCTGTGGCTCGGAGGACTGCAGTGGGTCCCTAGGCCTCCAGCACCCCTGGTCCTGTCACCCACTGTTTGTCTCCAGCACATGAAGGACTCAAGGCAGCAGGTGGACCTTGTCACTCACCAGCTCCACATGGCCAGAGGCTTTTCCTGTAATGTGAGCACAGGCCATGATGTGAGCCACCACACAGGCCACGATGAGGGCCGCCACACAGGCCACCACACAGGCCACGATGAGGGCCGCCACACAGGCCGCCACATAGGCCACGATGAGGGCCGCCACACAGGCCGCCACACAGGCCACGATGAGGGCTGCCACACAGGCCGCCACACAGGCCATGATGTTGGGCTGCCACACAGGCCACCACACAGGCCACGATGAGGGCCACCACACAGGCCACCACACAGGCCACGATGAGGGCCGCCACACAGGCCGCCACACAGGCCACGATGAGGGCCGCCACACAGGCCGCCACACAGGCCACGATGAGGGCCGCCACACAGGCCACCACACAGGCCACGATGAGGGCCGCCACACAGGCCACCACACAGGCCACGATGAGGGCCGCCACACAGGCCACCACACAGGCCATGATGTTGGGCTGCCACACAGGACACCATACAGGCTGCCACACAGGCTGCCATACGAGCCACCGCATGATGCGGGTTGCCACATAGGCCATGGCGAGGGTGGCCACACAGGCTGCCACACAGGCCATGACGTGGGGCCACACAAGCTACCATACAAAGACCACGACCTGTGGCCACCACACAGGCCACCACATAGGCCATGGTGAGGGCTGCCACAGAAGCCAAAACATGGGCCCCATAGTGTAGACCATGATACCAGCCACGAGGCCATGACGCGGGCTGTCCTCCAGTCCTCTCTCTCTTCCTTGCCCATCTCCACCCAGCCCCTCTGGCCCTGGCATTGCTGCTTGTCTGGTGCAGGCTGGCCTCACCCTTCCATCCCGGTCCCCACACTGCCTTGGTCTGGTGGCCCCTCCCGATGGAGCCTCTCCTAGCCCTGCTGTGTCCCGCCTGTTGCCTGCTGCCCAGCTTCCCCTTTGTGGATCTGTCCTCAGCAGAGCCCACTTCCCTGTCTTGTCCCCAGCACTCCCCAACTGGTCCTGGGCACGCTGCTGACTGTGCGATGGCCAGGTGCCCGGCTGAGCCAACTTGCTAGTCACAGTGTAGCTGTCCCCCAACATCACCCCCTTCCTGGGCATCGTCCTGCTTGTGCCCTCGTCTGCAAATTTGCTCCCATTAGGCCAAACCACCGAA